TAGCTAATTTCAGCTCTTTCCACTTCCTTCTGGTAAGTTGAGCTTCTCTCTGCCTTTTCAGCTGTTTTTTGCTAACTTGAGCTTTTTTAGCTGATTTCTTAAGTTTTTATACGGATTTCTGCTTATTTAAACCTAATTCAGCAAATATGTGTTATTTCTGTTTTTTTCTGTTAATTTAGGCTTGTTCTTTCATTTCAACACGTTTTTAGCTAATATCAGCTGTTTTTCAGCAAGTTCTTCTGCAATAAGCATTCACACAGCATTTTCACAGGAAATGCTACTTCTCTAGTTACTATACGTGTTATTTCAGACGTCACCGGCCTTTTTCAGTCGCGGGCCCTAAACTTGGGCACAATCTGCCCCCAACATTAGACACGCCACTTCACTTGCTGTTTTTAAATCTCTTTCAATAGTGTGATTTGATTTTGTATTTTATTGTTGTGTGTTTTTATGGTTTTCTTTTGATTCGTTTAATTAATTTGTTATTTTTTTCTTTAAATTACAGCCATTGATTTTATTGTTAAGCCCTTTGGTAACAGCTGCTGTTTATAAATGTGCTTTATAAATAAATTTGACTTGACTTTATTATCTGTTTAATTTCTTCCAAACACAAATAGCTCCTCATCAAGTCACATGGCAGAACTCGATGCCTTTAGGCGCGCAAACGACTTGCTGAAGTTAAAACGAAGCATCAGAACGGGGAAGAACTGGGATTTAAATGTCTTCAAATGGGATGGTACTGAGTACTTCATGAACTGATCTTGAGATTTTTTTTTAAATACGACCATCTCCACATTTTACGTAGAATGAGTTAGAGAGTAAATAACCAGTAAGCAGAAGATGTGTGGATGAAAAGGTTTTGTTGACGTTGAGACGTCAGAAAATGGGCAAACTGGTTCCTGATGATAAAGGCAACACAGCAGCTCAAAAAACATTAGTTCCAACAAAGATCTGCAGAACGCCACCTCTGAACACACACATCCAAACTTCACCAGTTCAGTCGAGTGTCTTTGAGATGTGGAACAGGAGATTCTCGTCATGGACGTACAAACTAAAATCTCAGAGCTGATTCTTAACCTTGTTGAGTCTGTGGCTAAAACACTTCAGGCAGTTCTGAAGACAACAGGAGGGTCCAAGCCAGTGCTAGCACCTGCATCGATCCATGCTAATGAACAACAGGAGTTAGTTTTACTAGACAATAACTCCTTATCTTGTGTATCTAAATTCTTTGTAGATATTTTGCTGTGCAATTTTTTTTTTTTTTTTTTAGGTTTTTTTTCATTGTTTTTAATTCAAATTCACTTTTAACAACACCAGATATTTAAAGTGACATTGTCCAATTTATGATTAAAAAAAAAAACAACTTAAAATTAGACCTAACTTTGAACAGTAAAAAGAATTTGGATATTTAAGTCATTAATAAAACAACAAAGCCCATGCTCAATAATCCAGGTGTACAATCCAACATTTTTCAGTCAGGTCATCTGGACAGTTTCTTTTTTTGTGCTGAAACGTTTCAACAAGGAAGAGGGCCGGCAATGGAGGAGGGGCGTGCCAAAAAGACCATCTTAGCACCAACATAACTGGTTTGTTCCACTTTGGAGTAAGCTGTTGGGGGAAGAATCCGTTTTGTTGTTTCCTTGACTGATGAAGCCTTCTGGATCGAAGGCGAAACGTTTCGGCACAAAAAAAAGAAACTGTCCAGATGACCTGACTGGAAAATGTTGGATTAAGTCATTAATGTATTTCTGTGATATTGATCAACAAGTTTGTATAAGATATTTAAAAAATTGCACTTCCCATCACTTTTTAGTGCTACATTTATATTTCATTGACTTGCCACATATCCAGTTAATTCATAGGAGGCGCATTTTGTAAATATTTTGTTCTGATTTGAGTAAAACTGATCATTTATAACTGAATCTTCAGTCTGTGTTGACAGATTCCTCAAAAGACAAAAAAAAACTTATGGCTCCAACAATACAGATTATTTAGACTTTTAGAAACTCTGGAACAAACGTCTGTATAATCAGTTTTCATTCTATACTTCTTTGTTCTTTTAAGTCTTATGATTATGAACCAGTGTATGAAATCAAGATATAATATTGGAGCATCAGCTGAAAAGTGTTGCCTTTTCGTTTAATTTAGTAATAACTGAGACAGCCCTTCTGTACAGTGCACACGTCTCAGCCCTGTTAATGCTGCCAAGTTTAATTATTACATAACCGTGTTCCAAAGATTCACACTTATCTCCATTCACCTGATTAAAGGTTGATAATGAGAACTGCTTCTGATGTCACACAGACACCTTGTGTGTGTGCATTTTTACTGCCTACAAACCTGACGCCATGACGCCTCTTTTGCACCAGCTTCCCTGAAGCAGCAGAGGGGGCAAGCCTTCCAGAAGAAGCTTTGCACGTTTGCACACATGCACAATGAGGTTGAGCAACATCTTCACATCTCACGAGGAGCCAGAGGAGGGAGCCACCCAGTCAGTGAAGGGGTCCTTTGTATGCTCATCTCATAGCTTGGCACATGGTGAACAAAGTGATTTAGTCACATTTCTCACTGGACATCCCTGACCTGTCAGACACATCATCTTTTATCAGTTTATTAAAAACAACTAAAGAGAATATAACCTGATTTAAGGTGGATGCTGCAGATGTGATTTCTATCTGACTTCTGAGCTTCTCTGACACTTTTCTGGGTGGACCTGACAAAAAAAGAAGCAAAATAGAATACAAAATAGGTTTTTTTTTTAACTAAACAAAAACATAAAAACCTGTTCTCGCTCTTAATTAGCAGCATTAATATATGTATGCTTCCTTCAACTGCATATAAACTGACACGAATGATGATAAAACACATCATGTGGCTTCAGTGTCTTTATTTTAATAAAGCATTAAATACAAAGCAGCATCATAATAGAGGGTAAACACATTAATGCTATATTACGTGGTTAAATTTACCTTCCACTTCCTGAGGAGAATGAAGACACATTTGAACAAATATCACACAGATAAAACAAGATTTATGTCTCTCAAAGCATCTTACCTTGAAGTTTATAGCTTTGCTCAAGAAAAACAGAGCTAAAGCTAAACGTTGTTTAGTTCTTTTACTTTAATTTATTGCATAATAGGCTTTAAAGAATAATAAGATACTCGCACGTTAATAACGAGTCAGTAAGAACTCGCTGTATGATATATAAATGAACAATTACTGTACAAATGTAGCAGTGTATATAGAAATACGCAAAACGACAGTATTTAGCTACAAGTCGTAGTTAAGCTAACAAAATGGCTACACGGTGGAGCTTCGCTACAGATCAAGCAACTTCCGCGCAGTTTTCACGTTTAATAACAAAACTACAATCACGTTATGACGATAAAGTCACCGCCAGCCTTTGCTTGTTTCCCCCTCTACCGAGCTTCGTGGGCTTTTAAAGAGAATACGCGGCCCGGCTGCCTCTTGGAAGTTAGCCGGAGAGAATATTAAGACTCCATCTTTGCTCGTTCACAAGAAGCCGCTCTTCCGAGCGCCGCCATGTTGAGCGCGGCTAGCCGCTCTGTAGCATTAGCAACGGTCCGAAATTTACCGTTAAATAAGACCTTTGCCTTCGCTTTAATCTTGTTAACTTACTACTGAATTAACAAGAATTAACTCACAAAGGCGGCGAGTTAGTTGGGTAATAACAGACGGGTGGCGTAACGTTCATACGAAGCTACAAAAAATAACGTCAGAGCTCGGTAACTAACTGAACAATCCATAAAAATTAGCCATAACTATTAGAAGCCTGTTGATATTTAATGAACGTCGAGGGTTTTAATTGATAAATTACGTGATAAGGCCTACTGCTTTCACCTAGTATGGCCACTACTTAAAGCAAACTTTTAAAAAAAGCTAAACATATATTTATGTGAACATATTAACAATATTACATGTATAACTAAGTAAACATTACATAATACATCTGTGCAAATAAAGTCAAAGTACGAGAACGGTTATTACTCAACCGCCAACACAGCCTTTCTAAACGTGGCCTACGGTATATTAGGCCATTTTAACAAAAGTATTAAAAACTTGACAAAAATACAACAATACCATGCGGAATAAATCCTTTTCGAGATGCGCATATGTTAAAATCATAAAGTTCTGTCAAAAAGCAAGCGTTAAATAAACAGTCGAGGCTTCGCCCGGAATTTCCCATGAAGCGTGCGGAAAATCAAGTCCTTCAGCCGGTCACCCTCCATACTTGAGTCCGAGGCTTGCGATTAGATCCCACAGATCCGAAAAGTCACTCAGTGAAATCACAAAAAGTCAATATGTTTGTAAAAAACAGCTACCAAATAATCCACTTCTTAATGTTTCGGGGCGAAAACAGTTCGTGTTTCACCATTTTTTTCCTCCAGTTTTACCAAAGACATTAACAGGCCTTAGCTCTGAGGCTCTTTTCTTAGAGCCCGGGCTGATCCAGAGCGAGACGAACAAGAGCGCAGAGATTTTTTTTTTAATTTTTGCTCAGAGGGAAGAAAGTTACATCGGCTGTATTCGGCAAACATCGGAAACTGGGCGGGTTTTGATTAAACTATTTCAATGAGGCTAATTTCCCACAAACCATTGGGCATCTCTTTCTCGCTGCTAAATATTAATAAGAAAAACGACCAATCTTGACTGTTTACATTGAATATGCATAGTTTGCATGCAAAGTAGATTAAGCACCGCCTATACACTTTTAATACAACCAATAGAAAAGAGATTACTTTGTTTTAACACCCGCCTTCAGTTTTGATTTGTTGACGAAAAGAACGTGCGTTCTTATTGGCTGTACGTATGATGAAGTTAATTATTCAAGTCGCTGTCTTGAATGGCCAATGAGCGTTTTACTACGGAGTGATAAGTCCCACCTCCCGAAGGGACAAACCCTGCCTTTTTGAGTAGGTAACCCCGTAGTACCGGCTCAGGCTATATAATGAAGAGTTGAACCATCCAGCTTTCAGAAGCGCTGAGAGCGCTCAAGTAGGTGTATCGGAAAAGGGGAGGGAGCAGATAGTGTCGTGTTTATGTAGGAAATAAACATAAACAACTCCTCTCGGAAGGCAACCGGCAACAGAGGACCCTGGAATATCGCCTTCGGAGATATTCCGGTCACCGTTGGCGGCCTGACCAGAGTCGTGGTGGCAGTTTAAAGGCTGTTCCTGCTCACAAAGCGGCGTGCCGAGGAAGGACGCGTCTCTTTGAATAGACGAAATGCACGGACCGCCCTCCGGCGACAGCGCATGCCCATTGCGCACGATCAAGAGAGTTCAGTTCGGCGTCATCAGCCCAGATGAACTCGTAGGTTTTCTGTTTTGGGGTGGGATTGTTACACAGTTGACTATCGAAGGGATGACACGTTACGGTTTTATTTAACGTCGGAGTAGTTTTACATTTAGCAAAAAAAAAAACGGGTCTGTTTGCAGCGAAAAGTCTTGCTGTTAGCCTAGCATTGCTAACTAGCATGTAGCAGGAAGTAAAGAAAAACTTAAAGCACAACATATTCTAAATCTATCCATGCAATCATATGAATTAAATCCCCCCTTTAATCAATCACTGTGACATTTAGACCCTTAAGTTGGGTTAAATTTGTTCCTAAGGATTTATTTCAATGTTTAATGTGATTTGTTTTTTTCGCACAATGAACTAATAAAAGCTTAAATAAAAAATAAGGAATGGACGTTTTCATTTATATATTATTAGCTGATGACAGAGTAAATGTATGTGTTTGTATAGAATAAGTTTTCATGAAATTCTTTTCGAGTTTTAAATATGGTTTGCAAGTCTGTGGATCTAAATGTTATATTTAATTCATTCATTCAACCTTTATTTATACAGGTTAATCCTACAGAAACTATATAGAAAACATGATCTGTTATCTGGAAACAATATAAAAATAGCAATTGTTTAATAACATTTTAAACGTTAAGTTTCTATGGTTAATTCGGTGTTGTTTTGTTCTTCTCAGAAGCGGATGTCGGTGACAGAAGGGGGAATCAAGTACCCCGAAACCACAGAAGGTGGACGTCCTAAACTTGGTGGCCTTATGGATCCAAGGCAAGGGGTTATAGAACGCAGCGGGAGGTGTCAAACGTGTGCGGGTAAGCATTTCTAGAAGAACGTCATGCCAACACATCGGCATGGGTGAAAAAAAGTCTACTTGTAGTCAGTTTTTTGGATTTTATATATCGTGATTTAAAGAAAAGTTGTTTTAACGTTATTTATCTCTAACCTCAAGTGTACTAAAGCACTCAGTCGATTGCGCCACAACTTTATTAATCCACCAGAAACAGTATAAATATAAAATAAGGCAAAGTTGCAAGCACTTGGACACCTCATACCAACTGTCAAACACGGTGGCAGAGGGGCACTGATTTGGGCATGTTTATCAGGACCTGGGCATCCTGTGGTCATGGAGTTGACATAAACTCTCAGTTGAGGAGTCCAAACAGGAGTAAATCAACAACAACAACAAAAAACTGAAGTTGTTGCAACAGTCCAGTGGATGTCCAGACCTCAGCCTGGTTGAAGTGCTCAACGATGTAAAAAAGAGTGGGCCAGAATTCTCCCACTATGGCGTGAGACTAGGGCCGGGCGATATCTCGACATTTTAAAAATATCAAGATAATTTCATTTGTGATATAAGATGAGACAATATCGTTATAAACAATATAGTGTTATACTGTACTTGAAAATACACCTGCCGTCTTCTCTTTCTCCCACGCGGCCCCTCCTTCTCCCTCCCTGAATATAAACCCAGCCCCTCGGCTGCGTGCACGCCCCCTGCTTTCTGCTTTTCCAGGTGGGCGGGAGACGTTTAGCACAACAAGTAAACACGGGAGATATCGAAGAGCAGCTTAGCTGCTGAGCAAAAAGAAAAACTGGATGTTTTTTCGGAGATGGTTTGAATTTAAATTGTCAGATGAGCAGCAGAAACATTTTCTGTAGACAATGCCGAAAACAAGTCTCGACAAAAGGTCGGCACTACGAATCTTTTCCACCATTTAAAACAGGGCTATAAATTAAGTTATAAGCTGCAGGTCCAAGTGTGTTTTCAGCCTCCTTCCCTGAAACCAACCACGGTATAAAACTCTTTTAGCCGTGCTGTGCCTTATGAGAGGCACAGCGAGCGGAGGCGCCGCGACATTAATAAAGCAGCAGCTTATCATATCGCTAAGATACAGTCCCATTCTCAACTGTGGAACAAGACGGCTAAGGTTAGCCAACTTGTTAGCCGCTAAGTTAAGAACTGTGTCTTTAGCGATATGATAAACTGCTGCTTTAATGTCGTGGCGCCTCCTCTCCCTTTTCCTCTCATAAGGCACAGCACGGCTAAATGAGTTTTATACCGTGGTAGGGCTGGGCGATATGATATTTGAAAAATAGCAAGTTTGTTTGTTTTTTTTGGCGATTATAAGATGAGCCTATATTGATATAAACAATATAGTGTTATACTTGAAAATCCGCCTGCTGTCTTCTTTCTCCCACGCGGCCCCCTCCTTCTCCCTCATTGAATACAACCACTCCGCACGCTCTCCCTGCTTCCTGCTTCTCCAGGAGGACGGCGTTAGCGCAACAAGTAAACATGGGAGATATATGAAGAGCAGCTGAGCAAAAGTAAAACAATGGCTGTTCTTTCGGAGATAGTTTAGATTTAAATTGTCAGATGATGGGCAGAAAAATGTTTTCTGTAGACAATGCTGAAAACAAGTCTCAACAAAAGGTCGGAACTACAAATCTTTTTCACCATTCAAATCAGCGCTATAAGTGGAGTATAAAGCGTGTGTGAAAGTGCAGCTGCAGCTCCAACAGACTTCAGCCTCCTTCCCTGAAACAAACCACGGGTCAAAATTCATTTAGCCATGCTGTGCCTTATGAGAGGAACAGTGAGGTGTTGCGACATTAATAAAGCCGTGGCTTATCATATCGCTAAAGACACGGTCCTTAGCGGCTAACAAAACGGCTAATGCTGTAGCCGTCTTGTTGCACAGTTGAGACAGGGATCGTGTCTTTAGCGATATGATAAGCTGCTGCTTTATTAATGTTGCACTGTCACCGTTCCTCTCATACACGCTTACTAACATCGTGAAGGCAGCTCTGCTGAAGAGGATTATTATTTAATATATGTAAATAAATGTCTAAAAAATAAACTATTTAATATATGTAAATAGTTTATTTTTTAGACATTTATTTGGTGCTGTTACAGCTGTTTACTATGTGTGCCTGTGTGACAAATGGGACAAAACTTTGACTCAGAAATATATTTTTATTAGCACAACTTCTACTTATATGTAAATAAATGTCTAATAAACAAACTATAATATATGTACATAGTTTTTTTAGGCATTTATTTTGTACAGTTACAGCTGTTGTTAATAAATGTGCCTGTGTGACAAATGGGACAAAGCTTTGACTCAGAACTATATTTTTGTTACTTTATGGAAAGAAAAAAATATTGTATATCGCGATTTATCTTCAAAAGCTATATTCATTTTAGCCCATGTCGCCCAGCCCTACCGTGGTTTATTTCAGGGAAGGAGGCTGAAGTCCGTCGGACCTGCAGCTGCAGTTCACACATGTTTACTAACGTTGTGTAGGCGACGCAGCTGAAGAGGATTTTAATTTAATTTATGTAAGCAAAGGTCTAAAAAATAAACTAATATTGGTAAATAGTTTATTTTTAGACATTTATTTTGTACAGTTACAGCTGTTTACTAGTACCTGCGTGACAATTGGGACAAAGCTTTGGCTCAAATATATGTTTTTATTTACGGAAAGAAAAAAAAATATATATATATATATATATATATATATATATATATATATATATATA